TATCAGTGTTGAAGGTGTAGCAGTTATGGAATAAGTGGAAATTTGCTCCAGAAATCAAAAGCAAAGAATAGTGCTGGTCAGAAACAGATGGTAGTGGGAGCAGTACATAATGAGACTGAATGTAGCCAGACTATACATGCACATAGAGGAAAACACAGATCTTTAAAAGCCTTTAGCCTTTAAAAGGTTAAAAATTATTAATCAAGACAAAAATGGTTCAATGCAGCTTAATAGTGACAAGTAATTAGGGAGGAGCTACTCAGACAAACAAGCATGTTTGTGAGACAGAGGTACTGAATGGAGTAAAAAAAGTCTTAAATGTGCAGTGGGGGTATTGAATGGCTGAGGGGGATGACTAGCAATGGGATGTATAGTTTTTCACCTCTAGGTTGCTTGGTCAAATCCTGACCATGTGAAATCCCCAGTGAAGGTCTAAAATAGCCATTTAAAAAATAAGAGCTCTTAATAAATTCAAAAGTAAATATTTGTATTTAATTCCATATTAAAAAATCAATAGCGAGACATTTGATTCAGGACAATGTTCAGGTTTGACTGAAAAAGAAATACAAAGAGCCAAAATTTTACATGGTGAAGAGACTGACAGAATTTAAACCCTACTAGGATGTGTGCACCATTATGTAACTCGTGCCTGCTTGGTGTTGTGCTCTGTCCCCGTCTAGTGGCACCCAGCCCAATAGAGATTGATGAGTCTGCTACAGCCTTGGCTAAAAGCTGAATATCTGTTGACTCATACACTAAGCTTCAGAGGTCCCAGGTTCGATCCCACGCATCAACGACCAGAGTCTGTCAGCACTGCAATTACATATAAGAATTTTTTGAGGAATAAGTCTGGACAAACGGAAGGTTGGAGTCTGTGTGAATAACCAGAGAAGAGAGGGATCAATGCAAATTTCACCTGCAAATGAAGAGTTCTACAGAGCTGGTAAATGCCAAGGGGTATAAGTTTAATGTAAACAGGACCTAATTAAATTAAAGTTTGCCCATATTGAATTCTTTAAAATGATTTCAAGCTATTTGATAAAAAATGTTGAGTTTGTATATTTCTGTTCAGTGTTTTGCCTGATCACCATCTCTTCCAGCCCAAGCTACCAAAGCACTAAGGCAACTTGCCCCAGGAACAAGAACATTCCATTCCTGCTTCAGAAATTTGCTCCAAAACTTCAGTATTTGGTTACAATTAAGATTTCTTTAAATCAGCCTATTTCTCTCTCCATTACTATTTGTGTTACTTGTCTAACAGTCACAGATAAACTAAATAAATTAATCTGTTGAGGATAGTGTTTTCTTGACTAATAAATTCACTAGATGTTGATCTTCCCACTGAGTTAGGCCCCAGTTCGGGAAGACACAAACACATACTTACATCCATCGCTATTCAGGAAGCGCATAAGCCTGGTATGTTTTCCTGAATTGGGACCTTTGTACTGAACCAACACTGGAGTGTGGACTTGTGGACACTGTGGTATTGGAGTTCCATCTTCTGATGGAATGATCCTAAAGCACTTTTCACAAGCATTTTAGGCCATTTCCAGTATGCACATTCAAATTCTGCCTTCCTAACCTCATCCTGTAGTTTTACCTTCCTAGATTTCATTTCAACTTGTTATACTAAACATTTCACTACTATTGTTGAGCACTATTAAAAGGCTCATTTAATTTCAGAGGTGGTTGCTCTTTGGTGGTAGGGAAAATGAATCCTGTATATATGTTTCTAAAATTTTCAAAGTACTGTGCGTTGCTTTGGAATGAAAGGCACAAGATGAAGATATTTTGTTACAAATAATAATCAATTTTTAATTATTCCTGTTGCCTCTTATTTCTTATGCTTCTTTTTTAGCTAGTCTGACTAAGCAGGTATTAGATGCGGATACCGTAGAATTATCCAAAACATCTATATGACTGGTAACAAAAGAGCAAGCAGCAGCCAACTGGCCATTACACATACATTCTTCTTCTACTATGTCCTTTTCAAAAAATTTACTCTTTGCCTTATGATCTAACTAGATCAAGTTTCAGGTCCAATGTATTTTCAGAACATGAGGTGGAAACACTGATCTAAATTCATCTGTTGCTCTGTATATTTCAAAGTTCCGATTTCCACAAAGGATTTACATTAGCTGGAGCAATGAATTTGTTTGGTCATCCTAGAGAAATAAGTAATTTTCTAAATGTGTAGATATAAGCCTCCAAAATATCCAAAGGATAGCTTGGTCTCAGGAAGTGACATAGGGCAGGACCACAATAAAAGAAATCAAATATATATTGATCCAAGGTTTGGGGCTTTAATGATAATGAGTATTTATAGTCCTTTGCAACTGAGGATCTCAAAGCACTTTGTAAATATTAATTCTTAGAATAGCCTTTGCAGTATATAAATATCAACCTCTTTTACAGATTAGAAAAACAAAATACAGGGAGGATAAATGGCTTGAACAAACCACACAATGTTAGGAGCAGAGTAAGCAATAGAACTCAGATCTCCTAACTGCCAGTACCTTGATCTAAATACCATACCTAGCTCCCTGTCATATATACATTATGTAAGTTGTGATTAGGTTTTGTTAGGTTAACCTCCTCTCCCTAGGCTGCTGCTGAGTCTAGGAATACAAATGAACATCCAAAATCTTGAAACTATCTTAATTTATTTCAAAAGTTACTGTGTGAGAATGAACGCAAATTGCTCAGAAAAGTGAAACAGTTGCTATACAGCACAAATGACAAAATGATATCACAAACAAAATCTATAGTGCTTGTACCCAAAAGTTCACTTTAAATCCACTGTTTCACATCTGGTAACAAACAGATTTTTAGTGCTGGTTTATCCCCCATTTTTGTCTTTATGCTTCAACCAACTGTACATGCTTGAAGTGGAGAAACACATTGAGGATTACTGAGCCACTAGAAGAAAAGGAGTACTTGTGGCACCTTAGAGACTAACAAATTTATTTGAGCATAAGCTCTCGTGAGCTACAGCTCACCAATGAAGTGAGCTGTAGCTCACGAAAACTTATGGTCAAATGAATTTGTTAGTCTCTAAGGGTATGTCTACACTACGAAATTAGGTCGAATTTATAGAAGTCGGTTTTTTAGAAATCGGTTTTATATATTCGAGTGTGTGTGTCCCCACAGAAAATGCTCTAAGTGCATTAAGTGCATTAACTCGGCGGAGCGCTTCCACAGTACCGAGGCAAGCGTCGACTTCCGGAGCGTTGCACTGTGGGTAGCTATCCCACAGTTCCCGCAGTCTCCGCTGCCCATTGGAATTCTGGGTTGAGATCCCAATGCCTGATGGGGCTAAAACATTGTCGCGGGTGGTTCTGGGGACATATCGTCAGCCCCCCGTTCCCTCCCTCCCCCCCCCCCGTGAAAGCAAGGGCAGACAATCATTTTGCGCCTTTTTTCCTGAGTTACCTGTGCAGACGCCATACCACGGCAAGCATGGAGCCCGCTCAGCTCACTTTGGCAATTAGGAGCACATTAACCACCACACGCATTATCCAGCAGTATATGCAGCACCAGAACATGGCAACGCGATACCGGGCGAGGAGGCGACGTCAGCGCGGTCCCGTGAGTGATCAGGACATAGACACAGATTTCTCTGAAAGCATGGGCCCTGACAATGCATGCATCATGGTGCTAATGGGGCAGGTTCATGCTGTGGAACGCCGATTCTGGGCTCGGGAAACAAGCACAGACTGGTGGGACCGCATAGTGTTGCAGGTCTGGGACGATTCCCAGTGGCTGCGAAACTTTCGCATGCGTAGGGGCACTTTCATGGAACTTTGTGACTTGCTTTCCCCTGCCCTGAAGCACATGAATACCAAGATGAGAGCAGCCCTCACAGTTGAGAAGCGAGTGGCGATAGCCCTGTGGAAGCTTGCAACGCCAGACAGCTACCGGTCAGTTGGGAATCAATTTGGAGTGGGCAAATCTACTGTGGGGGCTGCTGTGATGCAAGTAGCCCACGCAATCAAAGATCTGCTGATATCAAGGGTAGTGACCCTGGGAAATGTGCAGGTCATAGTGGATGGCTTTGCTGCAATGGGATTCCCTAACTGTGGTGGGGCTATAGACGGAACTCATATCCCTATCTTGGCACCGGAGCACCAAGCCGCCGAGTACATAAACCGCAAGGGGTACTTTTCGATAGTGCTGCAAGCTCTGGTGGATCACAAGGGACGTTTCACCAACATCAACGTGGGATGGCCGGGAAAGGTGCATGATGCTCGCATCTTCAGGAACTCTGGTCTGTTTCAAAAGCTGCAGGAAGGGACTTTATTCCCAGACCAGAAAATAACTGTTGGGGATGTTGAAATGCCTATATGTATCCTTGGGGACCCAGCCTACCTCTTAATGCCATGGCTCATGAAGCCGTACACAGGCAGCCTGGACAGTAGTCAGGAGCTGTTCAACTACAGGCTGAGCAAGTGCAGAATGGTGGTAGAATGTGCATTTGGACGTTTAAAGGTGCGCTGGCGCAGTTTACTGACTCGCTTAGACCTCAGCGAAACCAATATTCCCACTGTTATTACTGCTTGCTGTGTGCTCCACAATATCTGTGAGAGTAAGGGGGAGACGTTTATGGTGGGGTGGGAGGTTGAGGCAAATCGCCTAGCTGCTGGTTACGCGCAGCCAGACACCAGGGCGGTTAGAAGAGCACAGGAGGGCGCGGTACGCATCAGAGAAGCTTTGAAAACCAGTTTCATGACTGGCCAGGCTACGGTGTGAAAGTTCTGTTTGTTTCTCCTTGATGAAACCCCCCGCCCCTTGGTTCACTCTACTTCCCTGTAAGCTAACCACCCTCCCCTCCTCCCTTTAATCATTGCTTGCAGAGGCAATAAAGTCATTGCTGCTTCACAGTCATGCATTCGTTATTCATTCATCGCACAAATAGGGAGATGACTACCAAGGTATCCCAGGAGGGGTGGTGGAGGAGGGAAGGAAAATGCCACACAGGACTTTAAGCACAGCACTTTAAAAGTTTACAACTTTAAAATTTATTGAATGCCAGCCTTCTTTTTTTTGGGCAATCCTCTGTGGTGGAGTGGCTGGTTGGCCGGAGGCCCCCCCACCGCGTTCTTGGGCGTCTGGGTGTGGAGGCTATGGAACTTGGGGAGGAGGGCGGTTGGTTACAGAGGGGCAGCAGTGGCAGTCTGTGCTCCAGCTGCCTTTGCTGCAGCTCAACCATACACTGGAGCATACTGGTTTGGTCCGCCAGCAGCCTCAGCATTGAATCCTGCCTCCTCTCATCACGCTGCCGCCACATTTGAGCTTCAGCCCTGTCTTCAGCCCGCCACTTACTCTCTTCAGCCCTCCACCTCTCCTCCCGGTCATTTTGTGCTTTCCTGCACTCTGACATTATTTGCCTCCACGCATTCGTCTGTGCTCTGTCAGTGTGGGAGGACAGCATGAGCTCGGAGAACATTTCATCGCGAGTGCGTTTTTTTTTCTTTCTAAGCTTCACTAGCCTCTGGGAAGGAGAAGATCCTGTGATCATTGAAACACATGCAGCTGGTGGAGGAAAAAAAAAAGGGACAGCGGTATTTAAAAAGACACATTTTATAAAACAGTGGCTACACTCTTTCAGGGTAAACCTTGCTGTTAACATTACATACATAGCACATGTGCTTTCGTTACAAGGTTGCATTTTGCCTCCTCCCACCGCGTGCCTACCCCCTCAACCTTCTCCCCTCCCTGTGGCTAACAGCGGAGAACATTTCTGTTTAGCCACAGGCAAACAGCCCAGCAGGAATGGGCTCCTCTGAGTGTCCCCTGAAGAAAAGCACTCTATTTCAACCAGGTGACCATGAATTATATCTCACTCTCCTGAGGATAACACAGAGAGATAAAGAACGGATTTTGGTTGAATGCCAGCAAACATACACTGCAATGCTTTGTTCTACAGTGATTCCCGAGTACGTGTTACTGGCCTGGAGTGGTAAAGTGTCCTACCATGAAGGACGAAATAAGGCTGCCCTCCCCAGAAACCTTTTGCAAAGGCTTTAGGACTACATCTAGGAGAACCGCAAATGCCAGGGCAAAGTAATCCTTTCACATGCTTGCTTTTAAACCATGTATAGCATTTTAAAAGGTACACTCACCAGAGGTCCCTTCTCCGCCTGCTGGGTCCAGGAGGCAGCCTTGGGTGGGTTCGGGGGGTACTGGCTCCAGGTCTAGGGTGAGAAACAGTTCCTGGCTGTCGGGAAAACCAGTTTCTCCGCTTGCTTGCTGTGAGCTATCTACAACCTCCTCCTCATCATCATCTTCTTCGTCCCCAAAACCTACTTCCGTATTGCCTCCATCTCCATTGAAGGAGTCAAACAACATGGCTGGGGTAGTGGTGGCTGAACCCCCTAAAATGGCATGCAGCTCATCATAGAAGCGGCATGTTTGGGGCTCTGACCCAGAGCGGCTGTTCGCCTCTCTGGTTTTCTGGTAGGCTTGCCTCAGCTCCTTCAGTTTCACGCGGCACTGCTTCGGGTCCCTGTTATGGCCTCTGTCCTTCATGCCCTGGGAGATTTTGACAAAGGTTTTGGCATTTCGAAAACTGGAACGGAGTTCTGATAGCACGGATTCCTCTCCCCAAACAGCGATCAGATCCCGTACCTCCCGTTCGGTCCATGCTGGAGCTCTTTTGCGATTCTGGGACTCCATCATGGTCACCTGTGCTGATGAGCTCTGCGTGGTCACCTGCAGCTTGCCACGCTGGCCAAACAGGAAATGAGATTCAAAAGTTCGCGGTTCTTTTCCTGTCTACCTGGCCAGTGCATCTGAGTTGAGAGTGCTGTCCAGAGCGGTCACAATGGAGCACTCTGGGATAGCTCCCGGAGGCCAATACCATCGAATTGTGTCCACAGTACCCCAAATTCGAGCCAGCAACGTCGATTTAAGCACTAATCCACTTGTCAGGGGTGGAGTAAGGAAATCGATTTTAAGAGCCCTTTAAGTCGAAATAAAGGGCTTCATTGTGTGGACGGGTGCAGGTTTAAATCGATTTAACGCTGCTAAATTCGACCTAAAGTCCTAGTGTAGACCAGGGCTATGGTGCCACAAGTACTCCTTTTCTTTTTGCGAATACAGACTAACACGGCTGCTACTCTGAAACCTGAGCCACTAGAGTACAAGTTCATACCCAGAGGCACAATTGATGATGATACCTCTAACTGAATAATCTGTAAAAGGTGTGGGAAGGCTACAGTGCTGGTGCTCAGTGTCTAGGCCTGTGTATCTCTCTTGCCAGAAAAGAGAAGACCTTCAGTAAAAGCTTTAGAAGGTCATAGTAATTCAAAGCTTTGCTTGAGTTAGTTATACCTGTATGAGTTCTATAACAATAACTGAGAAGCAACATAATCCATGAGCTGAAACATCTGTTCCAAGGCCTCTTGGTAAGCATGTTTTTCTGGAATATCCCCTTAGAAATGTTTTCTTAAAGTTTGTTAAAACAAGTCAGGTCTGCCCACCCTCGTATGTCTTGTTTGATTGGTTTCTTTCCAAGTATGACATGATCCCTGTCCATATGGTTTAAATTAGGGTGAGGCACTTTGCAATGCTGTGACAAAAAAGGGTAAGTCATAACAAAATCAACCAACTGCATTAGCATGTTTAGCAATACCACAGATATGATTGCTTAATTCTACAAATTGGAGCCACATGAAGAAAAACCACAGATCAGACCCTGCAATGGCTTGTGAAATATTTCCCACACCATGTGAGCAACATTCATCACATTCCTTTGCCTTTCACTGATGTTATCCTTTGCCTCTCCAGTCCTTTAAGTGTTAATTTATGTTCCAAATTCTTAAACATCTTTGATACTGCCGCTTAGTCAATGAAATGTTAAATGTTTTGGCAGAAGCCAAATGTGTTTAGGCTGCTTTCCTCTGCTAATTACACTTCAGGCTACCTAAGCTTTCATGTCTCAAGTTCTGAAACCATTATGTAATTTATTGTTGTCATTTACAGATGACTCAACATTCACATACATTGAAGAGACTGTAATTAAGAAATTTTACAGCTTAGGCAATTCAGGAATTAAAACATCTAATGGACTGAATATCTTCTATTGACATCAATGGTAGTAACTGCAGAGTCCTTCAAGAACATGGTTATTACAACAAACTGTGGGTCTTATTCACAAATGGGTGAATCTTGGTCCCATTTCAATCAATGGGAAAACGTGACTTCAGTGTCCAAAAAGGGAACACAACTTACTCAGACACACACAGGTCCATAAAAAGAATTTCTCAGAATGAAGGGGACATCCTGAATATTTGGTCCACAGATGTCTATGAAAAGGTGGTTCTGAGGTTAGTCTGGGAGACTTTGGTATAAATGAATAAATTATTAGCATCTACTGTGGGAGAGGAGCTCTTGGGTGTGTCATCAGGGAATCGTGTGACCACATTCCGGAAGTGATGACAGCTCATATATTTTGAACAAGCACAATGGAATGAACTGAACACATTGTCACAAGGCAGCTCAGAAACCTGTCAATAGGTTTAACCCAGTGGTTCTCAAACTTTTGTACTGGTGACCCCTTTCACACAGCAAGCCTCTGAGACACCCCACCCCATAAATTAAAAACACTTTTTTATATATTTAACACCATTATAAATGCTGGAGGCAAAACGGGGTTTGGGTGGAGGCTGAAAGCTTGCAAGCCCCCATGTAATAACCTTACGACCCCCTGAGCGGTCCAGACCCCCAGTTTGAGAACCCCTGGTTTAACAACATCACAGACCCAGAGTCCATTTTTACATTGCCAGCAGAACTCCATGCAGACTTTTCTATGAGGCCAGATACAAGTGCTGGAAAGGATCTTTACAGCGTGGCATTGTTGCTGCCCTCAGAGAAAGAATAGTATGATGAGCTGGGAGAAGCAGAAAATGACCATAGCCTGTCTAGTGGATAAAAAATGTGTGTAAACTATTTTTAGATAAAAGCATTCTGCTCACATTAAGCTCAGAACCAAATTTCAAAAGCAAGAATAAGTTGAGGGAAAATATGCAAAAATATTTTAGGAAAAAAATGTTTATAAGCAGAATTTTAAGCATGTACCTACTGGAGTAAAAAAACAACATTAGGAGCCTGCTTCCACTCCCACTGAAGTTGATGGGCTTTTGCCAACACTTTCAACAATACCAGGATTGGGTGCTATGAGGCAAATTCAGAGGTGATGTAAATTGCAGTGTGAACAACATATTGGTTAGTGGGAATAAGTAAATGCAAGTGAGTGTAATTCACATGCACAGGGTGTTGTTTTAGCAAGGCCCATCTTCCTCTAACACTTTCTTGTTGGCTGCTTTATCTGCTACAGCCTTGCCCTTCTGCATGTACCTCTGAATATGGCTCAGCGCCTGTACTTTATTCCAGTGGCTCTCAACCTTTCCAGACTACTGTACCCCTTTCAGGAGTCTGATTTGTCCTGTGTACCCCCAAGTTTCACCTCACTTAAAAACTACTCACTTACAAATTTGGACATAAAAATACAAAAGTGTCACAGCACACTGCTACCCAAAAATGGCTGACTTTCTCATTTTTACCATATAATTATAAAATAAATCAATTGGAATATAAATATTGTACTTACATTTCAGTGTACAGTGTATAGAGCAGTATAAACAAGCCATTGTCTGTATGAAATTTTAGTTTGTACTGACTTTGCTAGTGCTTTTTATGTAGTCTGTTGTAAAACTAGGCAAGTATCTAGATGAGTTGATGTACATCCTGGAAGACCTATGAGTATGCCCAGAGGTACATGCACGCCTGATTGAGAACCACTACTTTATACAGTAAAGCTTACCTGTGATCTTCAGGTGGAGAACAGGACAAAGGGAGTGAAAAGGGAGACTGAAGTAAGTAAACCAAAGCTTACGGAGATTGGCATCTCCCAAGAGTTCTAGTCCTGGGAGCCAGATGAAGGCCAAAAACAATTTTATTTTTTGAGAACCCAAATTTAAAATCAATTGGCTTAGCTAGAAAACATGTTCTTGTTGCATTCTGATGAGTTCTTTCTTTCTTTTAAATGGAAAGAAAATGGTGGCTGCACTACTTGCCTGGAACTATGATATCGCTCTCACTAAAAAAGGTGATAAAGTGGCACAATAAAAGCTGAGACATGGGGAGACAAAGGGCTGGAAAGCTGCATGTTGTGTAATAGGAGTATGTCATTATTGCTAGGCAGATATTACATTTGCTTATAGAATTTTTATTTTAAATAAGAAATGCTAAATTTTATAGAGTTCTCTGTTTATGAACAACACACTTATTAATTCCGATTTGTCAAGCAATCATGTCATGCCAACCTAATTTCTCATTAATGACTTGAATGGAGAGTATGCTTATGAAATTTGCAGAGGATACCATGCTAGGAGGGGTTGCTAGCATCTTGGAGGACAGGATTCAAAATGACCTTCACAAATTGGAGAATTGGTCTGAAACCAAGAAGATAAAATTAAATAAAGACAAGTGCAAAGTACTATACTTAGGCGGAAAAATCAAACACACAACTACAAAATGGAAAATAACTGGCTAGGTAGTAGTCTGCTGAAAAAGATCTGGAGGTTACAGTGGATCACAAATTGAATATGAGTCAACAATATGATGCAATTGCAAAAAAGGCTAATATAATTCTGAGGTATATTAACAGGAACGCTGTATGTAAGACACAAGAGGTATTTGTCTTGATCTACTTGGCACTGGTGAGGTCTCAGATGGAGTACTGTGTCCAATCCAGGGTACCACTTTAGGAAAGATGCTGTCAAATTGGAGAGAGTCCAGAGAACAACAAAAATGATAAAAGGTTTAGAAAACCCGACCTATGAGGAAAGATTAAAAAACTGGGCATGCTTAGTGTTGAAAAAATAAAAAGAAGACAGAATGGGAACTTCATAATCTCCAAATATGTTAAAGGCTGTTATAATGAGGTCAGTGATCAATTGTTCTCCATGTCCACTAAAGGCAGGCAAGAAGTAATAGGCTTAATCTGCAGCAAGGGAGATTCAAATTAGATATTAGTAAAACTGTCTAAGGATAAAGAAAAGGAGTACTTGTGGCACCTTAGAGACTAACCAATTTATTTGAGCATGAGCTTTCGTGAGTTACAGCTCACTTCATCAGATGTGATGCTCATGCTCAAATAAATTGGTTAGTCTCTAAGGTGCCACAAGTACTCCTTTTCTTTTTGCGAATACAGACTAACACGGCTGTTCCTCTGAAACCTGTCTAAGGATAGTTTCTAACTAACTTTCTAAGGACAGTTAAGCACTGAAATAGGCTTCCAAAAGAGGCTGGAGGATTTTAAGAACAGGTTAGACAAACACCTGTCAGGGATGTTCTAAATTTACTTGGTCCTGACTGAGTGCAGGAGACTGGACTAGATGACTTCTCAAGGACCCTTCCAGTCCTACATTTCTATCATTAAAAGATGTGATTGGCTCATCTTACATAAGATTTTCCTCACAAAAAGTAAGTAAATGGATAGAGGTTTCCTGGAGGGATGCCTGCAAGACAGTCTGTGAATATACTGTGCCCATGACTGCTGTATCTGAGTACCAACTGGAAGAGGTAAGCAGTTAAGCATACATCTATTTTGGTATTCAATGTTAGTATGTTACAAACCTAACTTATACTTGGGAGGGATGGAAATGGGGTGTTGCAGGGAAAGCAATGAACAGGAGGGTGTAAAATAAAGCAGCCCTTCTACCACACAGCATTACTTTAATTTGTATGCACACCATTCACACCATTCCTAGATGTTTAACCCTGAAGTTACTTTATTCATATCCATACCAGACACAACTTTCAGCCTTGAAGTCAATGGGAGTTATGCCTGTTTATTTTGAGGCTGAATTTGGTGTCAGTTACTTATTTTACATACCTACTGAATTCCCAATTGGTGCAAGCTACCCTACTTTGTCACTGTGACATTACACATATTTAAAAAGGACAATAGAACTTTGAAGATACTAATCTCCCACCTTCCTGAGGAGCTTCCTGGGATGTTTCTTTGACAC